CATAATTAAGAAAACAAATGTTTCGTATTTTGAAAGGCTAATATTGTTTTGTTTTTTTTTCAAGAAAATTAAATAAAATTGGTAGAATTTAGTTTGACGTCAATTATGAAATCAATACAAACATTTAAAAAAAATTAGATGTACAATAAAATATTGTGCACCTATTATAAAAGCTACCCTGTAATGAATGAAAGTTACTTATGCTTTATTGATAAAAGTTACCCAAAATAGTATACAAGTTATCCTAAATTCAATTCAAGTAATCGGATGAATACAAAAGTTTTTGACAAAGATACAAAATAGTATAAAAATTAAATGTCACTCTCTCATTGGCTTATCTTAAGTATAAAATATATCTATATAATTACTGTTTACATATTCAAGCATAGTTATTTTTGTTAAACTTCGAACAATAAAAGCAAGTTTCTATACATGCATAAGATTTTCATGATTTCCTAACATAAATATTGATTTAATTTTTTTTATAATAAATATATACTTTCCAATACTACAAATAATACATAAAGCCTTTCCAATCTTAATTTATACTCAAGTTAAAGAATAGTAACTAATTTGAAGCAATATGATTAAAGTGGCATAATTAAGAAAACAAATGTTTCGTATTTTGAAAGGCTAATATTGTTTTTTTTTTTAAGAAAATTAAATAAAATCGGTAGAATTTAGTTTGACATCAATTATGAAATCAATACAAACATTTAAAAAAAAAATCAGATGTACAATAAAATATTGTGCACCTATTATAAAAGCTACCTTGTAATGAATGAAAGTTACTTATGCTTTATTGATAAAAGTTACCCAAAATAGTCTACAAATTATCCTAAATTCAATTCAAGTAATCGGATAAATACAAAAGTTTTTGACAAAGATACAAAATAGTGTAAAAATTACTTTTATCGTTTGTTGTACTCCTTGACAAATACTGAATGCTGAGACGAAATGTTGTCTTGGAAAAAAATACATAATCTTGAACATAAATTTAATTTTAATCGGCCTTTCATTTTCTATGCAATGTCTTTTACAATGACCTTTTGTTTTTCTTGCATTAAAAAAAATTAAAAAAAAAAAAAAACTGAACCAATAACCAATCTAAACAAGAAGAATAAAAGTTAAATTGAATTAGACATTTGACGGAAAAGGGATAAATATAAAATGTATTATAACTATTACTCGTGTTTTAAATTGTAATATTCGTATTAACAATGCTATTACTTGAATTTTTTGTAGAAAAACTAACATTTTTATTTAAAAGCCGTGCATTGCTCATGTACTATACTAGATATACAACAATCATGTGCAATAATTTATGTTGTTTCAATTTATACATAATAATACTTTTAACTATAATAGTATGTGTATATCTATTCAAAAAATAAAAAATAATAGTATGTGTATATAATATAATATTTTATATAATATAAAAAAGTATATGTATATAATATAATATTTTATATAATATAAAAAAGTATATGTATATAATATAATATTTTATAACACGTGTCTTCCATACCAAGTGTTTGGTTGTTGGTGTAGTGGTGATTGAGACTACACTTGGTAGGGAGGACCTGTGTTCGCTCCTCTGCAACAACAATCGGAAGGGGGGTGGAACCTAATAGCCTAGAACAGATCCTCAAATCTGGATTAGCCCAAATGGTGAACCGGATAGAACACCCAAAACTCAATGCATATATGATGGGAATTAACTTATCCTTTATCTATCTTATACAAAACTCCAAAGTCTAATTTTTTTTTCAAAATATAATAATAATAACATTTGTAAATTTTTGTTAATATGAAAGATATAAACCTATCAAAATGTATATATAGTTAAATTGTTTAATAACTTATATCGAATACGTAGTTTTATATACTCCGTATATTTTATTTATATAAAATTATCAGTATCCATACCTATATACGAAGTATTTGTGTTGTATACTATATTTAATCAGCTGTTGGTTATATATATGACTATTATATAATATATAGTTTTTGGCACAATGCTTAACTTAGGAAAATATATGTTCTGGTAGGTCAAATATAAGATTATTATTTTGTCTATAGATTTAATGAGTGCGACGGGTAAATAAAACATGTATTTATTAGATTGATTGTAGCTACTGATGCGGATGGTATGATAAGAAAATTTTAGTTTTTTCTCAACGGGTGATATAAATAAATTAGTCCACTTCTTATATAGCTATGTGGAGTATTATTCAATTATTTTCAATTAATAAAAATAACATTATAAAAAAATTAAAAGAAATTCAAATAACATAAAATACTGTTCAAATTACGTTTCTTTAATTTATTATTATTTTTTTTATTGACCATTAATAACCAAGTCCTTTAATAGTAAAATAAATTACCTTTGTACTTATTTTTATTTTTCCTACAGGTTTAATAATTTGATTTATAAACCGTGCATCGCACGGGCACTATGCTAGTATATATATTAAAATTCATGGCAAGACATGATATTTTTCCATGTGTCAACAATTTTGCCATTTGGCATATGATGTGTCGTCGTCAAATCATACCATAACATTAATTATTGAAAAGCTCTATGCATGAACTTTCATGTATTAATGTTAAGTTTAATTGATAAACTCTTCATATGCATGACAATTTCCCTTGAATTGGACTGTAGCTCCTTAATAATTACATAACAATGAAGTTTGTAAGAAATTAAACATTCCTTCATTTTTATTTTGTGCATTAACTTATAAAATTGTAATCATAGAGTAAAAGTTTTTTGTGCATTATGGAGTAGTGTATATTTTGACATCAATTTTATAAAGATTTAATTTATCATATTTTTATGATTTTAATGTAAAAAAAAAATTATTCTTATAATCAAACCAACTCACACAAGCAACAAACTACTCAAGCTATCATATTAAATAAATAAAAATAAATATTAAAAAAAATCACCACTTAAGCTCTCAATGACAAACAAGTCAAAATATATATACTACGTAGTTCAATTAAAGTAATAAATTTATAATGACCCGGGGCATCGCCCGGGCCAATAACTAGTTTAAAATAAAAAAATACAGAGGAAGAAGAAAATTGGTTCAAAATCGGAGTATCGGACTAGACCATTTTGAATTAAATTGATACTCCTCTTTCGTTTCAATAATAATTGCAATAATTTAATCGACAAGCATATCAATGCTCAAAATTGATTTTAACACACGTAGTATATATAATAAATTATTGCGATTATTATGAAATAGAAGAAGTATTTTATTTTTTTGGAAACAAATTAGATTGGTACTAGAAACATTACTTGGTGTATAAGTTGACCCTAATATCAATTTGGTTCTATTTAGTCAGCCTTTTGCATGCTTTAATCTTTTTATACATATGATTCTTTATTAGAAAACACATTAAAATATACTCAATAAATATTAAAATTACGGTTTTTATTTTTTTATTATTTTTTTTAAAAAAGAACAATAACTACCTTAATAGGTTAAAATTTCGTACAAATTAATTTGACTCGATTTAACGTGTAGATGAGTAAATGGAGAAACGGGTAAAACTTCACTTTTAAAGTGTCTTTAGTAGAGATTGGTAGATTGAATCACAAGTTGAAATAATATACAATGTTTACGTCATGACTCATGAGGCTAAGGGCCTGTTCTCATTGACTGAAATGAGGTGAACTGAACTGAACTGAGCTGAATTGAACTGAAATGAATATTTTATAAAAGAAGGAAATTAGGAGCTGAACTGAACTAAACTGAGGTGAGCTGAGCTGAACTGAACTGGCCCTAAGCTTAGCTTAATTTAATGTAATTTTTCCCCTGAGATTATCTATTAATTATAGGTGCATCAACCTCAAATAATTATTCTAATTTCTTTATATTCATTGCTACTACTATTTTCTATTACTATGTTGATAGAATAATTAGGCAATAGGCATAGTTTGAGAATTACAAACCCCATAAACAAATGTGACGATATGTTTGAACTTGAAGCATTTTGTGGGTTTTTGGGCACATGCATTGAATTGGATTTAATTTTGCTTAATTTTCCGGAATACCTGGAGTGTATACATTATTGGGAAATTTCTGCAGAATTTGCTGCGGATTATTTATTTGATGGTATAATTCTACTATAGTCTTTCCTTCTGCATTTTTTATTCATGGTTTGCTTCATATAAATTGTACTTGGGTTTGCTAATGTAATTATATAGCACATTAGTTACTTTGTGTGTTATTTAATTTGTTGCTTTTATGAATATGTTGTTTGGTGAATGCGATTGGGAATCAAATTGAAATAGAATTCATCATTGCTTTAATTGATTCTACATTCTGTAGTTAGATTGTTTGTATGGTGGCAGTAATTCGCTGTTGGGGTGACCCAATCTATCAATTATATACGCGGGTGTACCTAGACCTAGATACAACAATGTTCGTTTGCTGATTCCGGGAAAAATGACTCATTTTTTAACAAAATAAATCATCTAGGCATGTGTGTGGCAGTGAAAACTTTGTAGATTAAACTTTAGAAGTATCAAGTAACTGTGTTAGCATATATATACACCTTTTGGTCTTACTGCTATAATTTGCTAATTGTAATGTATGATGGTATAAATTAGGATCAATATGTGTTATTAAAGCTGGTATCTTTGGGATGAACTAAAGTGGATCTTATGTAGTTTTATGGTAGTTCTTGTAGCAGATTATTTCCCGGGGAAAAGGGGGGGGGGGGGTTAATGGTGTTCTTCCTCTAGAATGTGGTGTGTGTGTTCTGGAGGCTTGAACACAGCCTCGTCTGTCAAACCAGCAGATTGAACAAGACAATGTTTTTCCTGATACGCGTGTATGATGATGGATGTAAACATATTCTTTTGAACTTTCTGAATGACTTATTCTAGATTTTGTATATCGATTTAGGAGTTAACTAGCTATCCTGTTCAATGTTTGCGTGTGGGAAATGTAACTATGATTGCTACCTTCTAATGTCCCTTTAAGGGCAAAACTAGTTTTTATATTAATATTAATTAAGTTCTTGATGTGCTCTATCCCACTTTTGCCCAATATTATATCACTTTAATGCCATTTTCAAATGTAGAATCACCAAGTTTGCCATGCTTGAAGTGTTCTGCTGCCTTGTTTTTTCCCCATTTTTAAAGCCGTAATGGCGGCTTTTTAGTCCCTTGACACGCTAAATTTGAAACGGCCAAACCATTCAAGATCAAATCCAATATATGTCACTTTCAGTTGATGATTAAGCATGTTGTACGCGGCGAGGCGTGCAACTCTATGTCAGATTGTCAACTGCAGGAAAGAGGGGATTTTGAGTGGTATCTAGTATATCTTATAAAAAGCTATTTTATCAAAGCCTCAGCTCATAACCCACATTTTCTGAACTGTTGAGACATTTGAGTCTCAAAGTATATGTTTTTTGGTTTATCTTGTTGTAAATATATTGTTAACCAACTATCAATTTGTTGTTTATCTTGAGTTTTAACTGCATTCTTGATTGCTCCTGCAATTATTCTTGTTATCCTTTGATTATCAGTTCATAAAAGATGACGGGTATTGACATTGAGTCTCAGCAGACTAATCCTCCAAAGGGCACAGACAAAGAACAAAAGAGTGAAAAGGTGCCATTGTTGCAAGATCATCCTTTGATTATAACAAAGGATGATGCAAACACAGCTTCATATTTAAGTGGAGTATTTAATTTGTCATGCACTATTGTTGGTGCCGGTATTATGAGCTTACCAGCTGCCATGAAAGTACTTGGTATTATCCCAGGGATTCTTTTGATTTTAGTTTCTGGATTTTTGACAAAGTACTCCGTTGAGATATTGCTTCGCTATAGCGAAAAAGAAGGATCATATACCTATGGGCAGCTCATGTATGATGCCTTTGGAAGGATTGGAGAGATTTTTTTTCAAATTAGTGTTATCATCAACAATACTGGCATTACCATAATCTATTTGATAATAATTGGTATAAGTCCATTGTCCTTGGCCTTATGCAATTTTTTTGGTTCATATTTTGACTTTATAGTTGCTGTGTATAGGTGCAAGATGCCTATCTATTAGTTGTCTGATATTTTTTCATGTTTGAATTTGTAAGCCGATGTGATTTCTGGGTCAACTACAAGTGGTATTCACCATTCTGGTATTTTAGAAGAGTGGTTCGGAGAACAATGGTGGACAGGGCGCGCCTTTGTGCTGATTTTCCTGACTGCTTTTGCATTAATTCCTACAGCATGGATTAAGAGCATGGGTTAGTGCTTTTGCAATACTCTCTTATCTACTCAATGTCATCATCTGGTATATACTCTGAAGTTTTCGCTCATTGATGCATATACATGCTTTTTCTATGGCTGTAGAGGCTCTGCAATACACTTCAGCAATTGCAGTAGGGTTGGCGGTGCTCTTCATTCTTATTGTTATCGAAATCACATGCTACAAGCTGGCAATGGGAACAATAAAGCAACCATCACTCTTTCCTCGCATAAATGATTTTGCATCCTTTTGGAATCTATTCACTGCAGTTCCTGTGCTTGTTTGTGCATACCTTTGCCACTACAATGGTAAAATCTTAAAGCCTTTTTCGGTGTCAGTTTTGCACTTTCAAAAAGTCATTTGTTATACTGATGCATCCTCTGGACTTCAGTGGGTATTACAGCTTAGATTTTAGTCCCCTAAGTAAAAGTTGATATTATATTGCCTGTCGAAAAATTAATTCTGAGCTCTGAGTTTTAATGATCTGAGAATTACTTTTATTTGTTGATGAATTTTCATGCATGTCCATTTACCCTTGAAAATGAGGCTAAATTCATGTAATACCCATTTTTATACTGAAATTCTGTGTGTGGCTCCTTTTGTAGTGCATACGATACGGAATGAGCTACAAGATCCATCTCAGATGCCTGGGGTGGTGAAGTCTTCTCTTTCTGTATGCAGTACAATCTACATAATGACAGGGTTATTTGGATTTCTTCTCTTTGGAGATTCAACTGCTTCTGACGTGCTCTCCAACTTCGACTCTGATCTTGGTATCCCATATAGCTCAGTCTTAAATGCTATGGTCCGTCTCAGCTATGCAGCCCACATTGTTCTTGTATTTCCAGTTGTCTTCTATGCTCTCAGGCTTAACTTTTATGGCCTTGTATACAACTCAGCCATTCCACTGACTTCAGATACTCGAAAATCTGCATTTGCCATCATCACACTGATTTTAATACTTGTCATCCTGCTGGGAGCTATTTTTATTCCCAGTATTTGGGTAGCTTTTCAGTTTACTGGGGCAACAGCTGGAGCCTTGATCTTGTTCATATTTCCTGCTTCAATTGTTCTGAGGTTAGTAATCTTTGTATGTTTTATTATGTTAGTTTACATGTGTTTCTTGATCTAATTAAGCATAAGCATATTCACCTCATTTGGAATAATGATGCTAGATTGCTAAGTCTGAACTTTTTCGAAGATTACTTGTGAAGTTTTTGTCACTGATGACAATTGTGGAACATTTTCAAATGTTTTCTCCTCATATGCAGCAAATTTGGTTGATTTATTTGAAAAGTTGTTTATTTATCTATTCTGTTTTTCCCAAGAATTTTATTCTAAAAAAATAGAATGATCATTGTGGAACGATTTGTTTCCATGGTTTAACTAGTCTTGTAGGCAATAATACAGTATGAATTATGAACAAATCATAATTTTTTTTGAAAGAGAACAAATCATAATTTTGATTATTTCCATTGATCTTTATCTGTTTGTGTGGCTATTTCCAGGGATCATCTCGGAATTTCAACTAGGAGAGACAAGATTATTTCCTGGGGTTTGATCATTCTTGCTGTATTTTCGGATCTGGTGGCTATATACAGCAATACGGTTTCCTTACTTTGAAATTTTTGTTTCCTTTTAGTTCTATTTTATTTGTGCTGCTCCTCAAAATGGTGCTTTGCCTTATTTCAATTTTTAATAGGAAATGGGAAAGCCCGCAGTTTTTTTTCCATATCTGTAGCATTTGCTCCAATGGGTTAAAACTCCAATAACTGTACTTTGTGTATGTAGCAGAAAAGTGTTCAAAATACTGTCAAGTGTTCATTACTGGTAATTATTTTTCTAACTGTAAACGATTGTATTGTCTTGGGAGGGTTACCTTGGGTACTTAAAAACTGTAGTGCTGGCATGAGAAGTAATCAAAGGTGTTGACACAAGGCCTGTTCTTCCTTTAATTCTCAACGTGCTAACTATACTGTAGTGCCGGCAGGAGAAGCAATAAAAGATGTTGAAAATTTTCCCTGCTACTGTATTCTGTCTTCATCTTTTTTTTTTTTCCTACCGATTCCATATTCATGATTTTACAAGCAACTAAATTCAATCCGAGTATATTTTAGCTTCTTTCTTTGCTGATCTTGACATTCATGTTAGGAGATTAATAGATAATTTCTTCTGACTCTGACTGTTAGCATATTTCAGAAGTTAGAACTAATTTTTTTTTCATTCATATTCTTGGTTTTTATAATTCTAGATTTTCATTGATTCTTTAATTTAGTTTCTAAATTTTGTATTCTCATAAGCAACAGGATGACTTTTGTTCAGGACATTGAAAGTAGCTTTGTAAAGGGTAGCTCGATTGTCTTAAAAGATGAAAAAGTTCCTTTATTGGCTCACAAGAGAGCCTCTTTTGGTAGTTCTGTTTTTAATTTGTCATGCACCATTGTGGGTGCTGGAATCATGAGCTTGCCTGCTGCTATCAAAGTATTAGGTGTTATTCCTGGTGTTATTTTGATTATAATTGGGGGATTTTTGACTGAGGCCTCAATTGAGTTCTTGATTCGGTTCAGTGATGCATCTTGTTCATTTTCTTATTCTTCTGTCATGGAAGATGCATTTGGTAAAATTGGCAAGTTCTTAGTGCAGCTGTGTGTTGTAATCAACAATATCGGCACTTGCATCATTTACTTGATCATAATCGGTAAGATTAACCACAAAGTATGTTTCATTAATGAAATTGTAGGATTATAGCATGTCTGAGTCTGATCACTTGTTTGGTTAATGTCTTAATTAAGAGGATGTGCTCTCTGGATCAACTACTTCAAGTGGGGTTCATCACCCAGGTGTATTAGAAGATGAGTTTGGACAACAATGGTGGACCGGGCGTGCATTTGTGCTGTTCGTCCTAACCCTATTTGCATTCATGCCTTTGATATGGTGTAAGCGTATAGGTGAGTAATGTCTTGTTCTTACATAATCAACTATAGGGTTTTAAGCTGAATTTAGCAATATACCTTTCTAGTAACTATATTTATGAATTGTGACCATGAAATTGATGAAATAAATTGAAGATTGGCAGATTGCATTATTCTTTGTTATGATGGTTGCAGATTCATTAAGATACACTTCAGCTGTAGCAGTTGCACTTGCAGTGCTCTTTATAGTCGTTGTCATTGCAATCACAGCTTTCAAGCTAGTCGAGGGAACTATACAAGAGCCTGCATGGTTTCCAGTTATTAAGAGCTTTGAATCGTTTTGGAATCTCTTCACTGCTGTACCTGTTCTTGTTTGTGCATACCTTTGCCACTTCAATGGTAAGAAAATCTGTCTTTGCAGTTCATCCGATACAAAAACTGTATTCTAAATTTTTCATTGGTCTATTATACCCACTTTTCATGTCTTAAAAACTGTTTACTTATTGAATTTGAATTGGCAAAATGATCCTCTGATATTCAGATATCTGTCTTTGCAGTTCATCCGATACAAAATGAACTGAAAGATCCAAGCCAGATGCAAGCAGTAGTTAGGACTTCCCTTTCACTCTCTGGAATAGTGTACCTTCTAACAGGCTTATTTGGGTTCTTGCTCTTTGCAAACTCCACTGCTTCCGATATTCTCTCCAACTTTGACACTGACCTTGGAGTACCCTATAGCTCGTTGCTGAACAACATTGTCCGTGTTAGCTATGCGGGTCATATCATACTTGTCTTCCCTGTTATCTTCTATTCCCTAAGACTTAATTTTGATGGCCTAATGTTTCGTCATGCAAGGCCCCTGGCGACAGAGAATTGGAGATTCGTGTTTGTCACGTTCATATTGATGTCTGTGATCTTGTATGGAGCTATATTCATCCCTAGTATCTGGCAGGCCTTTGAATTTACTGGAGCCTCTTCTGGATCTTTGCTCCTATTTATATTTCCTGCTTCCATTGTCCTCAAGTACGTGATCTTCATTATGTTGCTGATGTTTTCGATTATAAATAATTTATCACGTAACTCTGATTTTGATGGTCAAGACCTGTGAACTGTGATAAATCTGTTACAAGCCAAGTATCCTTACCAATTCCTCTAACAAGCCAGGATTAGAAGTAACAAGGCACTGGTTCACCTGATTAGTCTAACAAGCCGTGTGCATGTGGCATTACAGGCTTACAGCAGTACCATAACAATCTCTAATAATTATTTCATAATGAAAGAAAGATCATTGAACCTCGGGTGACCCTCATGGAATTTGCTTCTCTTTTGTTGTTTCAGGGACCGTCATGGTATAGCAACGACGAAGGACACAATCTTAGCATTCTTCTTGATCCTTGTTGCTGTGTTAGCGGATGTGATTGCCATTTACAGCAACGTGAGATCTTTGATCCCAACGCCTTCATGATCATGCCTAGTCCTGGACCAACATAGTTTTTTCTCATAGAAAAAAGGGGCATTCGATTATATCTGCCAGGGTTCACAATTTACAATAGGATCATGTCTGTAATTTGACTGATGTAAGAAAAATTGATGGCAACGCACAATTTTGAATATACCATCGAAGTATTGAACTATACTGCACATAACTACTTCAGAAAGTGCATATCTATGAAACTACTATTTAAAACTTTTTGAAGTTGAACAAAAAGTTAAATGTATGAGATGTCACTCACGTATTCCAAACAACTCAATTTAGTTTAGTTCCTAAATTAATCTCTTGTTATCCTACCATTCAATTGTTCGTATACCAGGTAAATATAGAAACTCTAGTTAGAGTGGTTACCTTACTTTGTAATCTCTCACACAAGCTAGCACATCGTGTATTCATGTCACCATGTGTGTGACAAGTATGACAACCATATAGATCTCATACATAGATATAGTCAATAGTTTACATGTAAGATCATATGCACTAATGTTGTAATGCCTACATGTTCTCATCGTGAACCGGGGCACCACCATATCGATCTCATTCACCGATACATATTCAATGGATTACATCTTAGATCATATGCACTAATGTTGTAATACACCTACATATTCACATCGTGAACTCGGGAGTGCACCGGTAGGAGGTAGGACAATGTACACTGATAAAAACTATTTGCATGTGGCTTCCCATCCATCCATCATCCAACCACGACAACAACTATCCATCCACCTCACACAGGCACACGTGAAGTTGATAATGATGTTTCATGTGATACAAGGTCTTTTTCAAACATACAATTAAAAACCAATGAATATTGCTGACATGACGGACACTGCCCAAATTCAATATGCCTTACCCTAAGGGACGATATCATCCCAAGGATTTAAATGGAATCATCTTCATATTTTTGCTCATGTCAATCAAATTTTCTTGTGATCACTAATGTCGAGGCTCTATAACCCCTAAAAATGAAGGTACGTTTAAAATGGGTTATCGGTTCGAATCTCCCCCGCAAACAACATACCCACCCAAATTGATACTTGACCGCAATTTTAAGCCCAAACCGATGGCCCAGAAGCCCAAATGCCTTCTTATTTTTTATTTATTTTTTTTTTTTTTTGAAAAAGTAAAAATTCCAAACATGGTTGCCTAAACCTCCATCTACCCATTCTACCACACTCTCTTCTCACTTTCTCTCTCCTCTTTTTCATCTTCCAAATTTGTCACTGTGATTTCAATTTCTGCAACTTCAAGCTCAACAATGGCGGAAAATGAAGTGAGTAAGGAACAACAAGCCCAACCTGACGAACTTTCCGATGCTCTTGACGATCAATGGTGTTTCCACTATGATCAAATCCGAGCTTCAGGTTCATTTTTTCCCTCTTTTTTATTTCTCATTTATTTTTCTGTTTTAATATTTAGCATTAAAACATCAGTAGTTTATAAAAAAAGTTGTAGAATTACTAAATACTTGTTAATCTAGGGTTTATCTAATTCTCGAGAAATTGATTTGAATTGATGATTGGAAATTAGTTTATTGGTTGATGAAGTTCGTATAATGGTGGTGATATTCGTATTGTGATGGATTGGTGGTGATTGCGCGCAAGTAATTTCTGGAATTGTTGATTATTTTTTGGCAATATTGTTGTAATTTATAAGTCTTGTTGTTGCTGTAATATATTAAATTGAGCAAATTATTGAATTTGATATGATTTGGTTTGTTGATTGGGTGTCTGTTGGATGCATTTGAGAAGAAATTTGCATTGTTAGATCTCATTCATCTCATCAATGGCCTGTGGATTAGGAAGTGAGGCAGTATAATGGCTTATTTTCGAGACTTATCCATATCGAATTTCTTCTCTTGAACCAACATGAAGTTGTATTGATACTATGATACTACCTCTAATCAATCAATCAAAGCCATAATCCAAGTGGGGTCGGCTGACATGAACCAAATTTGATTATTCCGTGTAGTCATCGACATAAATCTTCCTCTTCCATTTCTTACTTGATACTACTACCTCTAATCTCTATGATAATTAAGGGGGCCGATTCTTTTAGATTTCAACTATTGGTTTTGATCTTGTATCATAGTTAAGGTAGCATTTATGATATGAATCATATGATACTAATTTGATGTTGATCTAAATTATGCTGGCTTATATTAGTACGCCGTACTTGTTATTATGAAGTATAATCATGTTTTCCATAAACTGAGTTAATAGTTGGGATATTTTTGTTTTTGCCTAAGAATATTTGTAAATGGTGCTTAACGTCTATAGTTCAAAAACTGTTCTGATGGCTTAGGGATCAAACAACCTACTTGAACTTTTGGAGAAGATGAATCTTAAGGTTGCAGAAGAGTATAACAATTATGGCGACGTTGCTTCTGGGTTGAGGGTGTTTGTGGAACAATTGAAGCACAAGGGTGGTAATTTTGAGGGGTACATTCAGCAGATCGATGCTATAGATCAACAAGTGACAGAATTTGAAGCTGTAATTTCAATGCTTGACCAATATGTCTCTATGTTGGAAAAGAAAGTGCAATCTGCATATCAGGTTCCGCCATCGTAGTTACCAGGTTCCACTTCCACCATCGTAGTTACCAGGTTCCACTTCCACCATCGTAGTTACCAGGTTCCACTTCCACCATCGTAGTTACCAGGTTCCACTTCCACCATCATAGTTATGGAGTATATCGATATTTTGTCAACCATTTGCTGACTTGTGTAAAAAATTTTGAGTATTCAAACTCTATGCTTATTTGTTTAGTAATTTTCATTTTTAAATCTAGTATAAATGTGAAATTATATTTGTTTTGTGTGAGATAATGCTTCTGCATTAATCTCAGTTTTGTAGTATGAAACTCATCAAATGGAATTGAACATGCTACTGTGAATATGAATGTAATTGATATGCAATCACAATTTCAGTTGTTTCCAAACTCTTTTTTTGTTTGATATTCTATTTGTTTTAAATTTTTTTTCCTGATTTAACTTTATCGTGAGACAATTGTTTAAAATGAAAGAACTTTTAAAAACAGAGGGTGTGTAATATATTTTTAAATCATTTGTATGATGCTGGTGAAGTTGGTGCTCTGATGCTCTCGGTTCTGGGTTTGGGGCCAGAAATATTCACTAGTAAAGGTTTTTTTTTTTTTTTTTTTTTTTTTTTTTTTTTTTTTTTTTTAATAAAAATAATATTCACTAGTAGAGTACTTAAATTATATGGAGTAATTAAATACAGAGTAGTATAATTTTTTGATGTTTTTTTTAGAAATACATATTATATCAGATAATTTTCAATTAACGAATTATTGTCACATGTGATACTCAATATGGAACATAGAAAAAAAAAAAAAAGAAATAAGTAAATACATTTGAAAATACGTAGTATAAGTTTATCTCCATCTGTTTATTACAAGGGCAAAAATGTAAGCAGAACTGTAAAAATGGGCAAAATTAGTTGTAGTTAGAGGTGTCAGAAGCACACCCGACCCGATTCGAAAAATATCTAATTTAGATTTGGACTGAATATAATAATTTATTATGACTTAACTTAAAAAATTGACCCGACTTGATCCGACTATATCAGATCCGATTTGATCATCCGAATTGACACCCCTAGTTATAGTAACGGTTTTGCATTCACTGCTTCAAGTAGCAATTTACTCACCTTATTTTGTCATGTATAATCCAAAACTTGTTTATCGCGCAGATTACTTGTTTATCGCCTTAAAAAAATACTACTATTCGGATTAACCGACTTTATAATGCACAATTTTAATCCGTATGAAACAAGTCTTCCTGCAATCCAAACCCAAAGTAACAGCCCAAAAAACTTTAAACAAAAATCCGTTTATTTTGTTTACGGAGGAATTTCTCTCTCCTCCATTTCGACAATGGCGACAACCTCCACTTCCACCACCATGGATCCACCTCCACCGCCGCCGTCCTCAGACGCCGCCATTGAAGCTACCACTTCACCTCCTACTTCGTCTTCTCTAGCAGAAATCGAAGAAGCTCCAAAGGATTCATCAATGGCTCCTCCGCCAAACCCTAAGATTTCCGTCGCCGAACTTCCGCCGCCTTCATCTTCCGATGGCTCAGAGAAGAAGACGCCGTTAGAGTCGTCTTCGAATAGTGTAAAGGAGAAAGTTCCAGTTTCAGTTCCTTACTCCGTTCCTCCATGGAGTGAAGCTCCTGCTCTTCCTTTCTTCCTTGAAGTTCTTAAAGATGGCGCAATTATCGATCATTATGACGTGTATTCTCTCTCATCTTCTCTCTCTTCAATTCATTTGATTGCTGCATTATATTGAATTTAATTGGTTTAATTTGATTTTAATTTGAAAATTTTGTTAGGACGAAGAAAGGTGCATATATGTTTGGGAGGATTGATTTGTGCGATTTCATTCTTGAGCATCCTACTATCTCTCGGTTTCATGCTGGTAAGTTTTTAGTGAGTTTTGTTAATCATATGCTCTGTTTGAAATTGGAATTAATTAGGTGTTTTACTTTCCTTTAATTAAATTTAATGATATTGCAATCAGAAATCATTCAACTTTGATTAATGTATCATTTTAGCTTTCTTAGGCAGAATTTGAAGTTCGCGTAAACTTAAACGAGTTTAGGAGATTGAATATAGTAAAATGTACAATTTATATGAGTTCTAGCCTTGAAGCAAATTGATGCTGATTAGCATTATGTAATCAACCAATATTAATTAGGGATCGAAGTTGCAGGTTGCATGTCGTTGTGATTGGTTTTTCGGTTTGAAGACTTTGAACTGTCGTTTAAATTTTTTATACCGTGACTTGTTATGATTGAACTCCATACTATCATGCAGTGTGTTAATTTGACAGCATCACCTTTTTACTTATAGTCCTACTTGTGCTTTTATATATAATGTTGTTTATAACATGTATTCTCTTCCTTTTTTTCTTCTATGGTAGTACTTCAGTTTAGAGGAGATGAAGCTGCATATATTTATGATCTTGGGAGTACACACGGAACGTCTGTTAACAAAAAAACAGGTATGGACTTGTGTGTACAACTTCCATTATATATATGACTTGTACTTCAAGTTCCTTGTCATTTGTTGTACTATATGATGAGTGATACTGATACAAATTGTCATCTACGTAGCTGAATAAGAAACAGTATGTTGAATTACGAGTTGGCGATGTTATCCGGTTTGGCCTGTGAGTATCTCTGCCTCTTGTGACTGCCAATTTATATTCAGCGTGATCTTCATATTGCTCCATCCTATGTAACCCTTTATTCCAGTTGCATTCCTATTCTCATTTATTTTTTTCCCCATAAAATTGTGTTGCTTAGCCGGGCTGCAGGCTGCCTTATAGCTGAAGCTTCATATTTGTATAAATCGCCCTCT